CACCGCCGAACCCTTGCTGGCTGACGCGTCTCCATCTAGGGATTACTACCGAGGGGATCGTCTCTCGATAGAGGTACTAGAGGGAAATCGGCCGATTTCCCTCAAATAAGATTATTGTGCTCCACCTGCTTACTTAGAATGTGCAACATTGCGCGTAATGGGGTAACCCTTTACCTACTGTGCAATATATGTACTTCAGTAGTGGAATACTTAAAATAACGTTAGCGCATTCAGTAAGAACCGCTCCTGGTAGATTGTAAAATCTGGTCTTGCTGAACACTGCTTTCCAGACCAGAATCGACGTCTTCCAACAGAAAAACTCACTGCGAAACAGAGCAAGTTACATGTATCACACCAAATATTTAACTTCGAAGTACAATACATGTGCTAGCAGTTACAATATAACTCTTGTCAACTTTACTAAATCTGGCATGTATACGATAAATTTAGAGTAGAATACCCTATGAACTCACTTCTCGAGTGCTCTCTACACCATAATGTTTACAAAGCCAGCTGGATTTGCTGAGTAGTTCAAAATATCGTCGCAACTCTTGAAGACAACTCGTTGTGGGATACATGTACGTACATACACGTTTGCTTGCAGCTCCTTCGAGCTCATAAGATTATCTAACAGTTTTACAATGTGCACGCAGTGGCCAGTAAGTGATGTCATCGGGTTCCGACGCTCACCACTGCACATCGTTGCCCATCGAGCAGCAGGTCAAGCACAAGCGGTTAAAGAATCGACATACAACTCGATTCAACCAGTCGCGAATTGACGACCATCCATCCACGGTATCATTTCTCAATCTCCAAGACCTCACTCAAGTTCAAGGCCTACCATGAGGATGCAATTAAGCTGTCTGCTGCTCCTCGTGTCTGTCATGGTTGCGTTTCTATCATGTGACTGCGATGCTGGGACTACTCGAGAGGTCAGGGGAGCAGCGCTCTCCAATGATAATAAGCTACTGCGGGAAGAAAGTAGTCCCGCTGTGGTTGCAGCTTCATACAATGATGAAGAGCGGATGGGGCTGAAGGAAGCATTTCTGTGGTTCTGGAACGCTGTGAAGATTAAAGCCAAGATGAAGTTCTGGCTGTTCCGTGGTACAACGCCGGAAGAAGTTCTCGAAAAATTAAAGGTGGCAAGCAACACTGACAAGAACTACAAGTACTACTCCAAATACTTCTTCAAATACTATGTCAAGTATCCTGGAAGGCAGCCACCGAATCTATCCACAAAAACTGCTGATGGGATCATGCAAGCACGACTACATGACTGGCTGGAGAAAAAACTCACCCCTCCGCAAGTCTTCAAGGAAATGGGTTTTACGGGAACGTTTGCCTCGGCTAGTAAAGATCCTCAGTTCAAGTACATCACGCAGTATTCCAAGATGTGGAGCGATCTCCAAGTTAGACTTACAAAGGAGGCTGATGAACTGATGAGGGCGCGACTGGACAGCTGGCTGGAGAAGAAGCTCACTCCGCCGCAAGTTTTCAATAAGCTGGGCTTAACGGGGACGTTTGAGTCTGCGCGTGAGCATCCAGATTACAAGTACTTTGAGCAATATTCCAAGATGTGGAGTAATCTCCAAGTGAGACTTTCGCAGGCAAGTGCGCCTGCGAAGAGTGCTGAAGATTTAATGATCGAGAAACTGTACTACTGGCTGAAGAAGGAACTCAGTCCACCACAAGTTTTTAAGGAATTGGGACTCACGGGGACGTTTGCTTCGGCTCGCGGGGAACCTAATCACAAGTACTTTGAGCTATATTGTAGAATGTGGAGTGCTGCTCAAGGAGGGTAGATTCAGTATAAAATTTGGAGGGATGGTTGTAAATTAAATATTCGTTTGAGATATATTACCTTACCCAGTCAATTCTGTTGGACGTGAAATTGATACTACGTAGCACATGTATGTGTTGTTGCAGTTTGTGCTTGTGCAATACTTCAGTACATTTCTCTGTAACACGTCATTTGACGGATGCATCGGCGGAACAGGCAATAGCGCTTTGACAATCAGGTGTAGCGCTCACAGCGGCACAGAAGGTGAGTGTGAGCGGGAACCGGAATGACCGCCGTCGCTCATTTTTTTTATAACTCTGGCCTGACAACTCATTGCGGTGGATATCAGAAACATTCTTCGAGCCCATTAGATAACGCGTGGAATGTATCTGAAATGGAAAAATCCGATGGAGAGCGGTAATTAAAACAAATCTAGTGCTGGTGAGGCGATATACCATCGATTGGAAGAAAGCACAAGCGGTATTATAATCTCTGATATTTCTATCAGGGATCCGATTTTGTTGTTCCGTTTTCGGGAAAAGAGTAACCCGCCATATATCTAATTATAATCATCAGTTCGTGAAGGGTCTATAGATCGTCATAATCAAAATCTCAGCCTATATTTATTTGAGGAAATAAGAATAATACTTTAGTTCTACTAATTAAACCAGCAAGACATCATAATATTAATAGCACTACTACTAGTACTAAACAAACCTTCTTTCGTTACAGTCCGTGTTTGCTACGGTGGATTGACTTGGGCTGCCGCGATTTGGGATGAAGTCGAAGGTTGCAGCTGCCTTCCGGAGGAAGGTGATATGGGGCGCATCTTGCGCGTTTTACTGGTTTGACAGTCTTCCGTGACGAAGCTTGCCCGTTTAACACTGGCCTAGCTGACCTTCACGAGGAAACGGTGAGCAATCAAGAGGACTCAGCTGACATTGACGAGCGGAACGAGGGCAAGTGAAGTAGGTTGGTGCTGCGTCACCATACAAACCACTAGGACAACAGCACCATGTTCTGGTACCTCCACTTGCTATCTAAGTACAGACGATCCTCTCGATAGTAACCCCCAGACTTGGAATACTCCCTCAATAGCAACAAATTAGCGGTTCCCGATGACCAGTTGCATACAAACCCAAGATATGATTCCCTCTCACCCCTCAGTTGCAAATGGAATACATTTGAAGTCAAATATTCCTATTCTGGGGTGCTTAACTATGAAAACAGTCATAACTGCACAAGAGCATTATTGCTGCCAAGTCCGATCCGAATATTGAACTAGTAGCTCCTGCTGCTGTGTTGGATAGTTGAGCTCCGCGGATTTCATCTTTTGAATTGTGTACGCAATGGGTCGCTCAACTCCGTCCACGACTTATAATAATACTCCACCAACAGCGAATTTGTTCGCATCAGTGCTCAAATTCATGGGCTGGCTGACGTTAGGGAGGTGCAACACTGGAGGATTGCACAATCGCCTCTTAAGCTCCTTGAATTTCTTCAACTGCTCATCATTGAATTGGATCCTCGCGTTCCTTTTGTTCTTCTTCTTCAAGAGAGCGAACATTGTTGCAGTAAGTGCTGCGTAGTCTGGACAAAATTGTTGGACGTAACCAGTCAACCCAAGGAAGCTGTAAAGTTCCTCTTGTGTTCGTGGTACTGGCCAGTCCTTGATGGTTTGTACCTTGTCCGGATCCATCCGTACGCCGTTGCGTCCTACGAAGTCCCCAAGACACGGAATCTCGTCGGCACAGAAGACACACTTGGCAAGCTTGACTTACAGCTTGTTGTCACGCAGGATATCCAATGTCTTGCGCAACGCCTTCAAGTGGTCGTCGATGTTCTGAGACTTCGTGAAAACATGAATGTTATCGTAAAACGACTCGGTGTTTTCCAAACCTCGGAACCGCTTTGACGTTAAACGATGCATCGTCGCTGGCGCATTACAGACTCCAATAGGCAGAACAAGATACCCCCAAAGTCCGTTTAGCGCTTGGAATGCTGTGAACTTGATATCCTCTTCACGCATACGTACTTGATAGTACGCGGACATCAAATCCATTGTGGAAAACCAGTACGCTCCGGACATCGCGTCAAGGATGTCCTCCTTCCTCGTCATTGAGATACTTTGGCGTACAGTGTTGGAGTTCAAGTACCGGTAGTCGTGTACGATTCTCCAGCCAACTGGTTTCCGTACACAGAAGGTTGGAGCAGCATGTGGACTGATGCTCGGACGAATGAGTTTCTTGTTCACCATGTCTACCACCCAACGCACAATCTCGCGTTGCTGCTCTGCCGATTGACGCCACTGTTGCCGATATATTGCAAGATTCGGAACCTTCACGTCTATCCTATGCTCAATCTCGCGTTTCTCAGATAAACCTTCCGGGAGTTCAGGACGGAACACATTGTCCATATACTCCATGAGTAACTGGTACGCTGGATTCTCCTTGAAGCTATCCCAGTCCGTGTCCAGATACCGTTGTGCTTTCGCACTTACGACGTTGTCGGGTTGATCTTGCCGTTGCAGTGAGCGAGCAACTTGTTTGATCGTTACGTTCGTCAGAACCAACATAAAGTCAGGTTCATCGATCGACTTGGTTTTGGTTCTCAAGAACTTTCGAAGTTTCTGGCGAGTGATGAACTTCGTCTGGACACCAGCCTCGTCAGCGACACCCATCGTAAACATCTTTTCCACGAGAGTGCCTCCGCCCCCGGTAGTGCTGCTATCTCCAGCCTATCTTACAGTACCGTCGCGTTTCGACAATTCCAAGTTGTCCTTCACCGCCGAACCCTTGCTGGCTGACGCGTCTCCA